AACTGGTCTAACGATATTGAAGTTAGACCAGTTAATTACTCTGTAATGGACTGAACAGTTGGAATAAAAGGAAGAGTTCCAAGTTTTGCATTCCAAATAGAAAGCTGTGCCTTGGGCTGGGCTGTAGCTCAGTGGCAGAGTGCTTGCCTAGAATGTATGAGGCACTGAGTTCAATCCTTAGCACTACAAAAAAAAAAAAAAAACCAACTAAACAAAGAAAGGCATGCTGTTGATCTAAAACTATTAAAAGAAGAAAGAAAGAAAGAAAGAAAAGAAAAAAAAAAAGCTGTGCCTCTTGAATAATTAGTCCCAATGAGAATGCAAGGGAAATGTTCATAAAGAAAATTAAAGTGCTGCTCCAGGGCATAGGTGAATGATAAGAAAGCAAAACAGCTGATAGGGATAAAGTTTTCATAGTCTGGAGAACAGGTGAAAAAGCCACGTTCCCTTAAGCCAAAACCGCATCCAGATAAGGCCCAAACATTAGATTTTTCTGATGCCAAGAGAAGGGAGAAAGCTCCAGAAGAAGTCTGAAGGTGGCAGAATTTGGTTCATGATGTTCGAAGCAAGCGGCCCATCTCCATATAAGACAAGTGCAGGGTGAAGCAGAAATTGCTGATGTAGAAGCTACAGCAAGTCATGAAGAAGATCTTGCTAAGCTATCTGATGAAGACGCGATATGGTTGAGTTTCTCGGTGTCCCCCAAAAGCTCATGGGTGAGACAATGCAAGAAGGTTTAGAGGGGAAATGATCCTGTTATGAGAGCCTAAAGCCAATTAGTGAATTAATCCCCTGGCAGGATGAACAGGTGGCACAGATAAAATGGGGTGCCCACACCCTCCCCAAGCCTGGAGGTGTAGGCGCCACCTGTGGAGGAGTCCAGTTGCAGTGTGGAAGTGAACAGCAGCCGCCCTCAACGTTCCACATTAGGGTTCCACATTGGAGGTTCCCAGCAACCAGCGGCATCCCTCTGCGGGCAGGTCGTTCATCAGGGAGCCTAGGCGCCCTAAGGCCCTTTGGGGAGTCCAGTTGAATCGGTGGCTGCATGGAAATAGGCGTCCAAATAGGAGCATCCTCATCCATTGGCGGTGGCGGGAGTCTGCTTCCAGTGCAGTGGAGGTGTTGGCAGCATTTCTGGTGGCCAGGTCGGGACTCCAGTGGCCACAGTGTGGAGCGCTGGCTGTGGCGACAGCGACAGCGTAGGGCAGCGGGCCTCAGAGTCAGAGGGCGACCAGAGGATGGGGTGCCCTGTGCTGTGGCTGCCCCAGGCCACTTGTCTTGCTCCTGGCAGGGCCTGCCTGCTCAGGAAGCAGGACACGGCAGGCGGCGGTACCCACACAGCCCCTGAGGACCTTATGCTGAGCACGCAGGCGGCGCCTGGCACCGGCACTGAGCCCCCCGGGTGGCAGCTCGCCCCACCCCGGGTTCGCCCTGCCCCTCCCTGGGTTGCGGCCTCTGCGGGGGAAGTAGGCCCGCTGCCAGCCGGGGCAGCCTTTAAAGAGGACACCCACCCTCCCCAGCGACATCTCTCCTGGGCTGTGGCCACTGAGAGCAGAGGCAGTGGGGGGTGGGGCTACAAATCCTCCCCCTCAAAGCGCATCCCTGGGGCGGGACAAGAGTGGAGGGCATAGATGGCAGAGGGAACCCCAAGACGTGCCGTCCTTGGTCTTGGTCTTCTGCCACCCTTAGACAAAGAAATGTACTTTAAAAAAATTAATTAGCTCTAATTAGTTGTACATAACAGCAGAATTCACTTTGGTTCATTGTACAGAAATGGAGCACAGCTTTTCATTTCTCTGGTAGAACACGATGTAGAGTTGCACCATATGTGCAGTCCTGCATGTACCTAGGGTAATGATATCCCTCTCATTCCACCCTCTTTCCTACCCCATGCCCGTCCCTCCTATCCTTCCCCTTTGCCCCAAGTTCCTCCATTCTTCCCTTGCCCCCCTCATTATGGATCAGCATCCACTTATCAGGGAGAACATTCAGCCTGTTGTTTTTGAGGATTAGCTTTTTTCACTTACATAATATTCTCCAACTCCATCCACTTACCTGCAAGTGTCATAATTTTATTCTCTTTTAAAGCTAAGATTCCATTGTGCACATATACCTCATTTTCTTTATCGATTTAGCTCTTGAAGGACTTCTAGGTTGGTTCCACAGTTTACCTACTGTGACTTGAGCTGCTATAAACATTGATGTGGCTGCATCACTCTAGTATGCTGATTTTAAGTCTTTTGGGTATAGATTGAGGAGTGGAATTTCTGGGTCAAATGGAGGTTCCATTCCACGTTTTTTGAGGAAGCTCCATTCTGCTTTCCAGAGTGGTTGCACCAATTTGCAATGCCACTAGCAATGTATGAGTATACCTTTCCCCCCACATCCTCACCAACACTTATTGTTGCTTGTATTCTTGTTAACTGCCATTCTGGCTGGAGTAAGATGGTCTTAGAGTAGTTTTGATTTGCATTTCTCTAATTTCTGGTGAAGTTGAACATATTTTCATATATTTGTTGATCGACTGTGTATTTTCTTCTGTGAAGTGTCTGTCCATTTCCTTAGCCCATTTATTGATTGGGTTATTTATTCTTTGGGTGTTGAAGTTTTTGAGTTTTTTATATATCCTGGAAATTAGTGTTTTATCTAATGTGTGTGTAGTAAAGATGTTCTCCCACTCTGTGAGCTCTCTTTTCATATTATTGTTTCCTTTGCTGAGAAGAAGCTTTTAAGTTTGAATCCATCCCATTATTAATTCTTGATTTTATTTCTTAAGTACAGGGTCTCTGGTCTAATTCCTAGGTCCTTGATCTACTTTGAGTGTTTGTGCAAGGTGAGAGATCGTGGTTTAATTTCAGTCTGCTACATATGGATTTACAGTTTCCCCAGCACCATTGTTGAAGAGGCTATCGTTTAGCTAATGTATGTTTTCGGCACCTTTGGCAAGAATGAGATAACTACATTTATGTGGGTTTTTCTCTGTATCTTCTATTTTGGACCATTGGTCTACATGTGTATTTTGGTGCCAATAGCATGCCGTTTTTGTTACTACAGATCTGTAGTATAGTTTAAGGTTTGATATTGTGATGTGTCCTACTTCACTCTTCTTGCTAAGGATTGCTTTGTCAATAAGGATTTCTCTGTGTCTATTTTTCCAAATGAATTTCATGATTACTTTTTCTATTTCTATGAGGAATGTTATTGGGATTTTAATTGGAATCACATTAAATCTGTATAAGGTTTATGATAGTGTGGCCATTTTGACAATATTAATTCCATGAGGGAGGAATTGGAATCAGGTACCTGCTCAAAAGGGGAGGGATCCGATAGCCATGCCCACCTCAAAATGGCAAGGAATGCTTTCCAAGATGTAGTCGGTGTGCTTCCAGAGCCGGGGTGTCTGGTGATGTCAGGGGAACCGATGGCCTTGTGCTGTGGGGAGGTAGCAGCTGAGTGACCTGCGTGGGAGTGGAGCGAGTCTCGGCGGTCTGCAGATGTGTTGGTAGGTGGTTCTGCTAAGGCGCTGGCCAAGTCTTAAGTGAACTGCAACTTTGGCTTTGGGTCCTGCTCGGACACTGAGGCCCTGAGTCCTGCGCGAGGTCACAGCGCTGGTCATTTCTGTAGAGAGAAGCTGTACAGGGGCCTCTAACACTCTCAAGAGATGCAGAATTCCTACTAGGAGAGATCTGGATCACAGAGCAACACAGATGCTGCTTCCCTCTGGTCCGCCATCTTTGAAAGTCTTTTCAATTTCTTTCTTTAGTTTTCATTGTATAGGTCTTTCATCTCTTTTGTTAAATTTATACCCAAATATTTCATTTTTGAGGCTATTGTGAATGGGATAGTTTTCCTAATTTCTCTTTCAGAGGGTTCATCACTAATAGATAGAAATGCATTTGATTTATGAATATTGATTTCATATCCTGTGACATTGCTGAATTTGTTAATATTAGAAGTTTTCTGGTGGAGTTTTTTTTGGATCCTCTATGTGTAGAATCATGTCGTCAGCAAATAGGGATAGTTTGAGTTCTTCTTCCCCTATTCCTATCCCTTTAATTTCTTTCATCTACAGCTCTGTCGTGTAGTGTAAGCTGTAGTGGAGTTTAAACAGCAGTATAGTTTAAACTCTGGCTAGAGTATCAGGGACTATGTAGAGTAGAAGGTGAGAGAGGGCATCCTTGTCCTGTTCCAGTTCTGAGAGGAAATGCTTCCCATCAGAAATGCACTTTGAGGATGAAGAGGTCCTAGTTCCTCTGCTCTCTCCCCCCACAGCCCAGGTGGGATGTCTCTTAGGAAGGTGGGGGTCCTCTCCCAAGGCTGCCCCACCTGGCAGATGGCCTAGTTCCCCTGCAGAGGCCACATCGGGGATGGGGCGAGCAGCCACCCGGCGGGCTCATGGCCAGTGCCAGGCGAGGCAGGTGTGGGCAGCCTAAGGTCCTCAGCAGCTGCCTGGGTATTGCCACCCCCCTCGTGCTGCTTCCCGAACAGGCCGCTCAGCCAGGACCAAGACCCAGGGCCTGGAACGGCCACTGCAGAGGCCACTCCAGCCTCTCGTCGCCCTTCCACTCTGAGGCTCACTGCCCTGCGCCCTCGCTGCCGCCGCCAGCCTGGAGCTCTTCACTGTAGCCACCGGACTCCCCACATGGTCGCCAGATGCCACTGCAGCAGGATTCCTGTTACCCCAGCAGGATGAAGATGCTCACCACTGGACGCCTCTGTGTCCTCAGCCCCGTTTCCAGACTCTACTGGTGCTGCCGCCACCGTGCAGCAACCAAACTCCCAAACCCCAGCTGGACTATGATGCTGCCCACCAAGGGCCCAACGTCAATGCCCTTCACCCCCCGCCATGATGCCTGACTCCAGTGCCCCATGCCGGCTCCCGGATGAAGCTGCATGTTGCTGCTGCCACCACCAGACTCCATCATGGACGCAAGACAGCGATACTCAGCACTGGATGCCCACTTCACCCACTGCAGCCTGCCGCAGTCTGGCTGGGCACAAATGCCGCAGTCTGGCTGGGCACACAATCACGAGCCACCACACAGCTTGTAGATTCAAACAGCAACTCTTTATTCCCGAACTCACACCAGCCGTCTACAATCACGTTCTGGGGAAATCCACGTTCTCTGCCCAAATCCACGTTCTCTGCCCAAATCCACCTCCACTGGGCTTCTATCTCCAAAATATACTGTCTAAATCCCGTGAGAACTCAAGGGGAACTCAGGCAGCAGGATACGCCCTATTCCCAGCAGGAATAATCTTAAACCTTAAACCTGGAACCTAAACTGGGAACGCCCTAAACACGATTATCTTAAAACCGGGAACACCCTAATCTGCCTTGGTCCTTGAGCAAGGTCACGTACATTCAATGTCACTGCAACATGGGGTACGCTGGCAAGGAAATTGTCATACCTACTTGGCTAATGGCTCCCAGCAGCAGCCAGACTCCTGTGGCACTGCAAGACAGAAATGATCATGGCAACATCCCTCTGTTGTCACCACGGCAGCTTCTGGACTCTTCTGCTGCCACCGCCACTGTGAGTATGCAGCAAGGGATCTCCCAAACTGCAGCTGGATGCCAACACCTCAGCTGTTGCCACCCCCACGCCAACTCTCAACTCCGGACCTCCCTCGCCTGATGCCCGACGCCTGAAGCAGCTACATGTTGCTGCTGCTGCCACCAGATGCTACCACTCCATGAGGCCTCTTCAGTGATTCCATCCCAAAGATGCTGCTGTGCTGCCCAAGACCACAGAAGCTGGGAAGTTGGGTAGTCTCCATCGCAGTCGCCTCATCAGTGCCCACCGGTTGCTTCCTGCCTTTCCTCCCCCAGGACCACCCACCAGTCCTTCTGGGCCCTTGAGTAGGAGTTGTGCTGACTCAGGGAACTCATCCAAGGAAAACAAGTGAGTACTTTAAACAAAGGTTGCAGTCCTCACAGCAGGCAGTGGGCGGGGCTAGGTGGGTCCAGCCTGCTGGTGAGGGGGCAGAGGTGGAGCTACTGGCCTCCTCTGGACCTTGACCCTGCGGGGCAAGCTGGAGAGGGATCTCTGGCTGCTCTGGGAGTCCAGCCGGGAAGCAGCTTCCTAACTCACCCTCACACTCCTCTCTGAAGAGGACTCTGGATTCCAGAGAAAGCCATCTGGGCTCTTGGGCTCTGGGCAGTAGTATGAGCCAGACTGGACAGACTCCACCCACCTGGACTTGGGGAAAAGCCCCCTCTTGGGAAAATACCCTCCTAGAACTACCAAACTTAGTCTGACATTGGCTTCTTCCATGAGATTATCAAGAAAGGAAAAATATGTTACCTAGTTTTGTCTTGCAAAGGGTAGTGTGGGGAGAGGCAAAGGCATCAGAGTTGGTAGAGCTGAATTCACATCCCTTTTAACTGGGTGACCTTGTCCAGGGTCCAGAACTAGGTACAACCTTGGTTTTGCATCTGGTAAAACAAAGATGGTGAGGATGATAAGCTATCACCATCTGTCATAGCTGGAGACCTAATGCGTGGTTCATAAATCTGACTATTCCAATAACTTAAGAAAATGACAAAGAAGGCACACAACCACACAGAATTACCTTTTCAATAATCCGGGGGTGGCTCTGTGAACGTAAGGGCCCATGGAAAGACATAGAACCACTGGAATTCTTTATTGTTACATAGGAGACACACAAGGGGAGTTTCCATAGAACATTTTATCCCCAAAAGGGCAAAGGGGTCGGAATACAAGGGAACAGATGAGTGTAACTCAACCCCAGTGGGTGATGCCTACACCTGGAGCCATGCCTTGTTATCTGAGCTGGGGTGACGCCCACATTACTGCAACCTGGCACTGCCCTGCCAGACTGAATGCAATAATTGTTCAGAACCCGGTGCATCAGGGCTTAAAGGCGTCTGCATCCAAGGCAGCTCCCGACAATAAGCCATGGGCAAATCAAGTTGTTCTGCACTACCTCACCTTGGGAGCCAGGTAGGCATTCAGCAATATTTCCATGCAGAAATATATTCTCAGACTAAAGGTGACACACCTAGAAGTGCACCTTTGGATGACAACTGACCTGTGAGGTAGGGAGTTGAAATTTACATCATGTTTTTAGAGGAAATAATAATATATGGAAGGTCATAAACCAAAGCATGAAATGTTGGGTCAGGCTCATGGAATTAAAAGCTGTTTTCAAATTTGTTTAAAGTTACATTGAGATAAATCTATGTAGTTCAAACCTTCCAGGATATCCCCCACCTCTGCCGCACACACAGGGAGCAGTGTCCACAACTTTTTTGCTCCTCTTTACAGTATCACCAAATGTATGTGTGTGTGTGTACACACACACACACACACACACACACACACATATATATATATATATACTCGCACACATATACATAGTGTATTATGTAATATTTTGTCTTTTTGGTTTGTTTTTAGGCTGTCTGTAATAGAATCTCATGTCCATTCTTTTGCTCCCCTTCAGCTGACCATCAGGAAGAAGGAAACAGCAGAGAAGCTTGAGGATCAGAAGGACACTAGCCCTGCTCTGGTCACCCTGGAAGCTGGCTAGCCTGCACACACCAAAGCTTGAGGAAACAGCAGCCCTGCTTCAGCCACTTGAGGGCTGGCTGATCAATGCAAGGAGGAAAATAAACTAAGCAACAGGACAAATGGACTGTTTCGTCCTGTAAGAGGGCTCCCATACTGTGGTGCATTGCCACCCCTTACTTCTGTCATATGCACAGTCCTCTCCTTGGTCTTTACTACAGGACTGACAACCACCAAACACACAGCTAACCCATAATGGGGGGCGGGGCAAGGGAAGATGGGAGGGACTTTGGATTGGGCAGAGGGGAGTGTGGGAGGGGAGGGATATGGGAGTGGGAAGGATGGTGGAATGAGGTGGATTGTATTAATCTATGTACATGTATGATTGCAGGAATGGGGTGACTGTGCACTGTGTCTAACCAGAGAAATGAAAAGTTGCCTCCATTGGTGTTTAATAGTCAAAATGCATTCTGCTGTTATATATAACTAATTGAAAAAAATTCATAAAGGACTAAGGCTTAAAAGGAAGTCTGGACACACCCCAGCCACAAAACTAATGAACCCCAACAAACCCAACACATAAAGATCCAAATCACAGCAGAGAGGAATCATCGCTGCCCTGGGATGGGGATCTCCCGAGGGCCCCGGCAGGTGAACCCGGCTCATCCATCCTTCCCCCATTGCCTAGGTGTGTCCAGAGCTGCCCAGTCCACTGGGGCTGGGAGGAGGGTGCCACCTCCCCACTCAGGTACATTGGATGGTACCCGATGGTCTCAGGTTTGGACCGCGTCTCTCCATCTAATGTCTTTTAAAAGTCTTTGACCTCCTCCTTCATCCCTTCAAGCCTGTTCCCCTCTTCCCATGGATCCCTCCATTCACTGAATGCCTGATGAGCCCTACAAGAAGGTGGGTGCAGGCTCCTCATCTCAGGAAGCTCCCAGGGAGTCCCCCGTTCCCAGTTGCCTGAGGATCTGTTGGGGCTCTCTGCCTGGGTTTTGGCTGACGGAGCGAGGATAGCCGTGATGTGCCCCTTCCAGATCTGGAGCTCAAACCACATGGTTTCACCCTCTCCTTTCCACTGCCATGGCAACCACAGTGGCTTTGTGTGCAAGACGGAGTCACTACAAGCTGAAAAGGTCTGAACGTCCTGGTCCCACCTGGAGGAGAGCCACCTGACCCATATTGCACTGTGTGACTTGAGCAAGAAAGTATCCTGGGAGCCGGGGACGTAGGCCAGGGGTAGAGAACATCTGTGGGGCCCTTATCTCAGTCTTCAATGCTGGGGGGAAAAGGAGGGGGGACAAAGAACAAGAGGGCTGAGGAAATAGCTCAGATGTGGAGCCCTGCCTAGCAGCTCAAGGCCCTGGGTTTGGTCCCCAGCACTACAAGAAAGAAGAAAGAGGAGGAGGAGAAGGAGGAGGAGGGAGGAAGAAAGAAAAGAAGTTACCCTGCATTGTGTTTAGCCACTGAAAAGCTGGGGATGTTTGTTACAACAGCTGGGATGCTTGTTACTTATCCTAATACAGGCAAAAGGAGCACCTTGACTTCTGTGGCTGGGTCACAGCGTCTGAGAGGGCTTCTTGCCAGGCAGTATATGACCACTGAGGCCTAATACTAGCTGGGAGATGGCATGAAGTCAGAGAAGGGAAAAGATACCCAAAGCCCAAATGCCTGACATTCAGTAGGTGTTCAGTAAAACTGGTGGCATGAGCAAAATACACGAGAACATTAGAAGAGCTTTGTAATGGTGGCCAATGTTGCCGGAGGCCCAGAAGATGAGCAGGGTTCGGGTGGGGTGGGAGTAGAGACAATCAGCCTCAATTAGCCTGGGAGTCCATACCTACAAGTGAGAAAGGGCAGGCCCTGTCCATGGGTCCGAGGAGAGTGAGCAGTCACTGGTGCCCTAGAGCAGTGGAGATGAAGCTGGAACTTGGAGGCTCCCCAAGGCCAAGCTGAATACTACAGTCTGAGGTCTAAAAAGTGTTTTCTTCTTCTTCTTTTTTTAATATTTATTTTTTGGTTAGACACAACACCTTTATTTTGTTTATTTATTTTTACATGGTGTTGAGGATCAAACCCAGGGCCTCGCGCACGCTAGGCGAGCGCTCTACTGCTGAACCACAACCCCAGCCCTAAAAAGTGTTTTCTTTGCAGTGACAGGGGTGGGCCCCAGGGCCTAACACATGCTAGGCAAGTGCTCTACCAGTGAGCAGCACCCCAGCCTAAATGACCTTATGTTTGTCAAAAGTAGCAACGATCACAGCCTTTGGAGTGGGCTCCAAAGGGGTGTGTGTGTGTGCGCGTAACAATCTATTGGGATATATGTGTAAATAATAAAATTCCTATTGACATTCTTCTTATGCCTTTAAGAGCTTGTTCTCTGGTGTATATGATACTACTGAGGCTCAGAGAGATTAAGTAACTCATCCAAGGTCCACAGCTAGTAAGGGTGCCTGACTCCAAAGCCCAGCCATGCTCTTCACATGCAGAGTCCTGTGCAGACAGGTTAGGGGTTGGATGGGGACAGAGGCAGGCCTAAGGAGGGGCCTTGGAGGAGTAGATACCTGGCGGCTCTGGAAGCCTCTTCTGTAGCCCATTGTGAGCAGAGGTCGAGAAGCCCGCCCCAGCCTGCTCCCTTGCACCTCGGGGCCTGTCATGAGGAGCCAAACAGACAGATTAGATCAGTCCTGGCCTGTGGCCAGCCACCCAAAGCCTCTTAGCTGGTCTTGGGCAATTCATCCTTACCTCTGTGAGCAGAAAGGGTAGGACAGGGGGCTGAGAGGTCAGAGTGGGGTGACAGAGTGGGAGAGGACAAGGTGTCACCCAGACTCTGGTGACAGGTGGCAGCTGGCAGGGGTAAACTGGCTTCTCTGCCATCTACACAACTCAGCTTCCAACCCCTGTGGCCTAGGGAACCCAGGTGTCTCACATTCCCGTGCTTCTTTGCGCTGTGTTCACAATTCATGCCTCTGATTCATACTACTAAAAGAACTTTATTTTTTAAATTTTATTTTTCAGAAATAAAATTGTAGCCAGGTACTGAGGCGCATGTGTGACATCCCAGAGACTAGAGAGATTGAGTTAGGAGGATCACAAGTTCAAGGCCAGTGTGGGCAACTTGGCCAGACCCTGTCTTAAACAAACTAAAAAAGGGCTTGGGCGGAGGTAGCTCAGTGGCAGAAGGCCCCTGGGTTTAAGATTGTAGGCAGGGGGTGTAGCTTCATGGTAGAGAGCTTGTCCGGCATGCACAAGGCCCTATTATTGTGTTTCTATCCCAAACATAATAATAATAATAATAATAACAACAACAACAAAAATTGTAATTAAAATATGCCTACAGAAAAATGCATCCCAGGGGCTGGGGATATGGCTCAAGTGGTAGCGCACTTGCCTGGCATGCGTGAGGCACTGGGTTCGATCCTCAGTACCACATAAAAATAAAGATATTGTGTCCACCTAAACCTAAAAAATAAATATTAAAAAAAAAAGAAAAATGCATCCATAAGTAGAGTTTGGTGACTTTTTACAAACCAACACATCCAAGTGTAACTAGAACTCAGAACAAGGAACAAAATATTTGCCAACCCCCTCCTGTCCTTTTCTAGTCACTACCCTTAATCAGCAGCAGGCACCTGACTTCCAGGTCATTAGAATTAGTCATTAGTCACTAATTAGTTTTGCCTGGTTGTTGGTGAGGCGTGAAGCCAGGGCCTTGCGCATGGTAGGCACGTGCTCTACCCTAAGGGGCACCCCCTGTCCCGGCTGGGTCTGGTTTTGAACTTCATGTAAGTGGAACCACCCAGCCTGTGCTCTTCTGTGTCAGGTTCACCTTGCTGCACACTAGGTTTGGGCCGTGTAGTACTCCGGGGCGTGCACACACTGTGTTTTATTTATCTGTTCTACTGACGGTGGACGTTTGAGTTGTTCCCAGTTTTTGCCTGTCCGGGGACAGCTGCTTTGAAACGGTTGTGTTTCTCTGCCTTTCTGTTTGAGTACATACCTCGGGTACGCTTGCGTCCACCTCCAAAAAAGCTCTCTCTGTTTTAAAAGAAAACCTTCCTTGCTGTTTGTTTTTGCTTAATCAGCTTTCTTGAGGTGTAGTTAGATATAATAAAATGCACCCATTTTAACTGTACCCCTGGCAACCACTGATGTGGTTTCTATCCTTGAGCATTCGTTTGGCCTATTCCTGAGCTTCCTATGAAGGGACTGTAGGGTAAGTGGGCTGTCTGTCTGGCATCTCTCCTTGGCACCTACCATGCCATCTGCATCCTGGCCTGTAGTTATTGCTCCTTTTTATGGTACACATTATGCAAATGCATCATGGCTCATTTATTCATTTCCCCGTGGACAGATGTTTAGAGTGTTTCCAGCTTGGCTATAATAAACAACGCCGTGACGGTCACTCCATCATTCCTGTACCAGACCTGGTGTTGGGCATGTGTATTCACTGCTCCTGGGCAAATACCTGGGAGTGATTGCTGGGTCGTAAGGTAGGTGTATAGTCAACTTTATAAGAAACGGTCAGACTGTTTTCCAAAGCCTTGGGCCACTTCAACCTCTCATCAGCAATGGATGAGAGGCCAGCTGCTTCCCAGCCACGCCAGCACTTAACTTTGCCATTTATTTCAGTTTAGCCATCCCAGTGGGTCTGAAGGGCTAGCTAGCTTATGGAAGCTTGTGTGTGTGTGTATGTGGCAGGGATTGAACCCAGGGGCGCTTAACCACTGAAGCACATCCCCAGCCCTTTTTTGTATTTTATTTTTTTTATATTTATATTTTAGGGGTAGATGGACACAACACAATGCCTTTATTTTTATGTGGTGCTGAGGATTGAACCCGGGTCCCGCCCGTGCTAGGCGAGTGCTCTACCACTGAGCCATAATCCCAGCCCCTTTTTTTGTATTTTATTTAGAGACAGGGTCTCACTGAGTTGCTTAGGGCCTCGCTGAGTTGCTGAGGCTGGCTCTGAACTCTCAATCCTCCTGCCTCAGCCTCCTGAGTCGCTGGGATTATAAGTGTGTGCCACTGTGCCCGGCCTTATTGGGACTTTAATTTGCATTTGCATGTTTTCCTGTGCTTCTTGGCCATCTGAGCCTTTTCTCTGGGGGATGGTCTGATCAAGCCTTCCTTATTTTATGTCCCCATCATACGTTTCATAGCCGCTGCCTCTGCCATCTACAACCTCAGCATTTTTTCGTTTGGAGTAACTAAAAAATTCTTCAAATTTGCCTTCCTCATTCCAGGGACTTCTCGGTTGTGCCAGACAAACCTTCTTAAACACCACAGTACACACCTCACTCCCTTGCTCTAAGACCTGCTACGGCTCCCCAAGTCTTCAGGGCCAGCCCCACTTCCTCATCTGCCATTCAAGGCAACTCCAGCCCCTGGCCTCAGCCTGTCTCTGCCGCCTTCCTTCCATTGCCTTTTCTACTGATCAGTAGAATATCTTGTCTGCTTCTTTCTCCCCCAGGGTTAAGTCTGCTCTAAATCAAGTCTGCTTCTCTGCAGGGAGGCTGCCTGTGAGCCCCACCCCACGGGGCTTCCTGGTTCCTCTGAGCATCTCTCCTGCTCTGCTGCTGGTTGGCACTCACTCTTTCTCCTTCTTCTTTTTCTTCAGTATTGGGCAAGTGCTCTATCACTAAGCTACAGCCCTGGCTCTTATTTTATTTTGCCACAGGGTTTTGCTAAGTTGTCCAGGCTGGCATCGAACCTAAGATCCTCCTGCCTCGGCCTCCCTGGTAGCTGGGATTACAGACCTGTGCCACTGTGCCCTTTCTTTATTTATTAAAAAAAATTGGGGTGGGGGGAAGGGATGGGGATGTGGCTCAAGCAGTAGCTCGCTCGCCTGGCATGCGTGCGGCCCGGGTTCGATCCTCAGCACCACATACAAACAAAGATGTTGTGTCCGCCGAAAACTAAAAAAATAAATATTAAAAGAAAATTCTCTCTCTCTCTCTCGTCTCTCTCTCTCTCTCTTTAATAAAAAAAATTAGTTGGACAGCATGCCTTTATTTTGTTTATTTTTATGGGGTGCTAAGGATTGAACCCAGTCCCTCACATGTGCTACGCAAGCACTCTGCTACTGAGCTACAGCCCCAGCCCCTATTTATTTACTTTTTTTCTGGTGCAGGGATGGAAATTTTGCCCCCTCACAGTACAAGCTAGATGTCCAGGGAGAAGCGGGCCTGGAGAGGGGCCTGTTGGTACCAGGAAGTTCCTCATACACATGATAAAAGTGTGGGCTTCTCCTTATAAATGTGTGGTACCAATATTGTATGTGAATATGCTTATAAAATCACATATATCTCCTCAAAAATTCTAGCATGTTGTGGGGGGAGAAATTCAAAGGTGGGGTGGGATAGGGAAGGAGAAGGGGGGCTTTCCCCCCTGTCTAAGAACCTTTGATGTGCACCAAAGATTATTGGATTTGAAGGAGATGTCCTGGATTTGAGCTCTAGGTCTATCCTTTTGTAACTGGGTGTCAGGAGATCAGTTCGTTGACTAGGGAGGATGAATTAAGTTAAAAAATAAATGGGAAGAGGTCATCCTTCCAGAACTGTGGGGAACAGGCAAGATCTTCCCATGTGAAAGTCAAGGGCAAACCCTAAAGAGCCCATGTATGCATTCAGAATTGGTTTACTTAGGAGCCCTTGGCACACCGACCTGGTGAAGAAACCTTGTCTTTTAGGAGGAGCAAGCCAGGGAAGGAAGCAAAATCACCTCCCCTCCTCCCTCTCCCTCCCTCACAGTCCCCTCTTCCCAAGGGCCTCCTGCTGAACACGCTGCTGTCCTCTCCCGTCAGACTTTATTTTAAAAAAGGCTTCAATGTTAAACTGGGGGGAAAGTATAACAAAGAAGAAAAATGCAGAGGACTCGGTGATGTACAGAGGGAAGTCTGTAGAAGTCAGAGGCTTATCTGCTGAAGACCCAGGTCGGCTCCAGCTCTGCCAGGCGCTGGCTGGCCCTGGCCCGATGGGAAGGGCTAGGACAGGTGATTTCAAGTCTCAGGGGCATTGTGGAGGTCCTGGGTTCAGATCTGGGCACCTCGGGGTGAGTCTAACTGCCCCAGAATCCCAGCGAGTCTGTCCACTGACCCGGGAACTGACATTTGAATAGGTTTTCTTCATAGCTATTCATCCCCTCTCCCAACACATTACCAGCCTGGGCAGTCAACTTTCCATGGGTCACCTCTACCAAAGCCACATTCAGAGGGGACCCCACTCCCTATCCTGGGAGGAGGGAGTCCTTGTACTTTCTACTTCACAAATTCATAAATATTTATGGGCTAATCACTGTTTCAGCTTCTGGAGATGCCGCTGGAGCCAAAGCGTAGGCAAGGAAAGCCCTTTGGCATCCAGCGTCCCCTGTTGGCAGACTCAGGAAGGAAGACAAAGACCCCTGTCCTGTGGGAGTGGGGTGGGCTGTTCAGTGCGATTAAGAGAAATCTTCACTTTCTGGGCACCAAACACCAAGAAAGGGAGGGAGTTGAGATCGGTGGTCAGGGAAGTCATTCGGGAGTCTCCACTGAGGTCTCTGCCCTCCCCCAGCCCTGCCCCCTCTACCCCAGGCTGGTTCTCGCTGCAGGGTCGCCTCCCCAGCTGGAGCATCACCTGGGCTCCTCCCGAGGCGGTTCTAGTGCAGCGCGCGGGGAGGGCGCACCGGCCGGACCGGGTCTCCATTACGCGCGCCAGGAGGCGCTGGAGTGCCCACACTCCGACCCTGGGGGCTGTGGGTGTCCCCGGTTCTGCGGGTGACTCCGCCCCAGCCCGCCCCCGCCCGCGCTCCCGCCTCGCCTGTGCTGCAGCGCACACGCCCAAGTCCTCCTCCAGCGTGCGCCCAGGGAGCCCATGGAGCTGGCGCGCGGCGCGTCCAAGGGGGATGGTGGGGCCGAAGCGCTGCTGGGTGAGCTGGAGGGGCTGGTGCAGGACGTGGTGAGGGCAAGTTCCTGGTGGGAGCTCCACGGCGTGGACTGTGCCATCCTCGCACTCAGCCTCCTCGCCTTGCCAGCCGGTAAGGGACCTGGGGTCAGGGACAGAGGGACAGGGACGGGCTGCGGGTGGGGGTAGGTTGCGGCGGAGGGTGGTTGTGCTTGCAGGCGGTGCTGCAGCTGGCCTGCAGTGGAGAGGGGAAGTCGGACCTGTGCCGGGGACCCTAGGCTGAAGGGTCACACCTTAAGCCCCAAAGTTGGCTTAGAGTGTCCTGTCCTGTGACTCCAGAGGAACTGGACTCACACATGGGAGAAAGTCTGATAGCTTGAAGGTGGTGGAGGGGAAAGTGGAGAGGAGTCAGGGAGGGCTGGGGAGGGAAGAGGTGGCCATGCAAAAGGGAAGAATGTTCTACTGAGGACACCAGGGAATGGGTGAGAGGAGTGGGGAGAGGGCCTGAGGTTTCCCTGGAGCTCTCATGGTCTGGAACTCTGTGATACCTGACCTCCATCTCTGCTCTGTTTGAGGGCTCAGCAGGGAAACCTCAGCAGATTCAGGACCCCTGAAGTTTCCTTGGCAAGACCCTGGGGCTCTATTTCATTCCAAATCCTGTAGGGAGAGCCAATCCATCCCCCTCAGGTCATGGAAGGTCCTGCCTCACTCCTGCCTGTGGCAGCCCCAGGGCTGGGCCCCCTGTGGCCAGGGATTCTGGGGTGGAGTATTTAGGCCCAGCTCTTCAGGAACTGGAGAAAGACCCTGTTCCCTTGTCCCCTCCTCTGTGCAGGGTTCCTGTGCCTGTCCTCTGAGAATGTCCTGGTCTTTGCCATTGGCATCACCATCTTGGGCGTGTGCCACTCCACGCTCACTGTCAAGGGCAGCCACCTGGCCACTCATGGTGCCCTCACCAAGTCCAAACGCTGGAGCAAGATCTGGTTGCTCTTCTTTGTAGAGGTGAGCCTTGGACAGGGGAGGGCTGCTGTCATCAGGCAAGCAGTCTCACTTGGTGCAAGCATGCAGATGTGTACAGGCATGGATGTGTGTGTGTGTGTGTGTGCACAACCATGCACAGGTTTCCAAGCCCTCAAAAGGGAGTTTGCACCTGATGGGTAGAGAACTGTGTGATGCACATCTGAGTGTCTAGCTATGACAGTGAACTTGGCCTGGGCACCTTCTTTCTCCTGAGGATGTCCACTCACCTCTCTGCAGCACCAGGCCAAGTATGACCAGAGCTTCTTCCTCCTATGAGGACACCTGTGGCTGGCAAGTCCTGTTTTGTGACTGTCTTGGCCCATGGCTGCAATCACTAGAGCCTCTGGGTTTTGCAGTCAGAGTTTAAAATGTGACCCACACAGAAGGGGCAGGGGCAGGTCTGGTGTTTCAGAGTTCCAGTTTGTGGAACTAGATTGTGCCCTTCTGACTCCTGGCCAAGGCCAAGCCATCCTGAGAGGCTCCTCCAAGTCTCCGATGGACCCTCCTCTCTCCTGACTCTTGCTCCCCTGTTTTCCATCTCCCCACTGTTCTGCCTTCTTACCTGGGGGCCAGCCCAGGAAGGCAAAGGTGGGCAGACTGTCCTCTCACAACGGGGCTTCCAGCAGCCTCTCAGAGTCTCTCCCAAACTTGGTCTGTCTTTGCCTCCAGGGGGCCCCTCCCCTAACTACTCAGGTCCTTTATGAATAAATCAGGAAGCTCATAACAGAAGGAGTCCTTTTCTGGCAGGGACTGGTTGCCATGACCTTTAACTCAATCATTAACTCTTTATAAAGTCGTGTAATCTTATAAAACTTTATATGACACACACATAGATCTAATTTCACCCACTGAGTGGAGGGGACATTTCTCACCTGGCTTTCTCCATCCCTTGTTTTTTCCCCTCCTCTTCCCACCAGCACGTTTTCTGAAAGGCTGAGGTCAAGAGGAATCCACAGGTTCCCCATCCTCAAGGTCAATTTCAAAATGTTTCCCTTTCCACGGACCCCTGGATGTGGTCTCAGCCAGACTCAAGGCAAGACTGGACCCTGGGGTCTGGCGCAGAGCCTCACTGAGTTTGTAGCCTGCCAAAGGAGGCAGGGGCAATGTTGGCTGTGTTGCGACATGGCAGTGTCACAGTGCTGGGACCCAAGGGGTAGGATTGGCTATTTTGAGTTTTCAAAGCTGCACTGAGTGCTAGGAACCTGGAGGCGGTTGAGGGTGAGTAGTTTTTGTGGTCTGTGGACTGGCGCAGACAGCAAGGGACTTATTGTACAGATTTGGCCTCAGGGTTCTCACACTTGGGTGAATAGCTAGGTGACCGGGAGGTCCAGGCGAGTTGGAGAAGCCTCAGTGACCCCGATATGCACTAAAACATGAGAACTCCTGACCCTGACTTCCCAGGGCCTCAGGCTGTCATATAAGTAAAGCCAGGAGCCAAGGACACTGTCCCACTGGAGAGCTGTATGGGAGCCAGGCAGCCCCGGGGCTGGGTTCTACTTGCTGTCCACCGTCTTGTCCCCAGGAGCCCCAGACCAGTAGCATCATCTTTGCCTTTTGTCTGTTCAGGCCTGACTGAGCTGTTGGCAGGACTTCCATCAATATTTGTGGACCATGACCATGCAATTCACTTGGGGGCAAGGTCCCTGGAAAAGCTGATTGACAGAAGGTCATGCCCTGGAGGGTCACAGCCTGTGTCCCCTCAGTGCTGGAGAGGGAAGGCTTGGCTACCCACTCGGTGTGTGGCACTGGCTGATTTGCTGTGATGGACCACCAGGCAAGGCACAGTGACTTGCACTCAGGCTCTCAAGTCATGGGGATGAGGTGGAGTCAGTAATGGAGATTTTCGGACCCCAGAGTGTGGCTCTGGTTACCCTCTGGGGAAGGTCCAGTCCCTGTGCAGGAGAGGGGATGGATCAGACCCTCTAGCTGACATGGTGAGGCCACAGCAGTCCTCAGAAAGGTTGCTGGTCTTATGGCCAGGCAGGGGGCCAGGGTTAGGGGCACATCCTTCGCAGCCTCGAGCCTTGGTTGGAATCCCAGCCCCGCTGGGCTGCCCTGACCTTGGGCAAGTTAGCTTGGTCCAGCAGCCAGTGTTAGTTCCTCCTGGAATCAGCTGGAGGGAAGGCCTGGCCTCCTTCCTGAAGCAGGCAGGTGGCTGCAGAGAGCCCACCCAGCCCTCGACTAGGGCCGGGTCCTGACCTGTCTCTCCCCCTGGGGAGGAGAGGTGGTCAGCTGCAAGGGAGGGGGAGCGTTCGTGGAGGAGTTTGATCCACTCCTTGTTTTGATTTTGCTCACTGGCAGGTTGCAGGGCTCGCAGCCGTGTTGGGGACTGGGTTGCATAGCACAGAGGACAAGCCCTGGCGGTCTGGGACCTCAGAGGATACCCGGGACCTTTCCTGGATCCCTGACTGTCACTTCTCCTGCATATCCGTGTCTCTTCCCTGTCATCCTTTTACTGATGGGGCCTGTGTTCTTCCCGGACTTGGACCTTCGGGAGGCTCCATGACTGTAGGGAATCTTGGCCCAGGTTCCTTCCAGGGTCCTGCAAATTCTGCCACCTCAGGCATCCGCCAAGCACCATTGGCTTTGCTGAGCACCAGCTTTTGCTGTGGTTGCCTCAGGATTGACCACTCCTAACCCGGGCGGAACCAGGACCTCTATGACCCAGTGGATCTGGGGAGGGGGTGATCAGTGGAGGAATGGGGGCTTCTACTCCAATTCCCATGCCAGATGAGTTCCCCCAGAAGACCCCCCTCTGGCTCACCTGGGAAAATTCCTCGTCCCTCCTAGTAGCATAGCCCATTCTCTAGCCCTGGCCTCACCCAGCACAGCACCTGGCTCTCCCTGCCCTGGGTTATGCCACTGGGACTGCCAGGCATATGCTCAGGGACTGCCAGAGAGGGTGCCACACTCAGTTGGCCGTCAGAGGGTGGGGGCAAGGTGGGGTGAGCAGGCTGCCAGGCTTCAGTCCAAAAGACTGGATTAACTCCTGAAACCAGAGGGTTTTAGGGACTCTCCTACAAGTTGTTCAATAATCCAGGATGCTCCCCTGAGTGGGAGGGAACAGGCTGTACCAGTTACTAAGCTCTTTGTTGTGTCTCAGCTTCAAATCCTCCTTGTAAAGTTGGCTTTGTGCTATGGGGCGGAGTCACAGCTGGTCCACAGGGAGCCCTGCACAGCAGACTGTGCCCTGCAGGGAGGAGTGTCACACAGGAGAATGCCTGTCACCCTCTGCAGGTCCCTTGTGATGGTGAGAACAGCTGAGAACTCCCAGCCTAGACATGGTCTCCATCCAAGCCCCAAGGACTCCTGTTTGAGAAGGAGCAACTGGGCTATTTTTTCCTGGTGCTGGAGATGGAACCTCAGTCTCACACATGCTGGGCACTCACTCTGCCACTGAGCCACACCCCAGCCTCCACTATGACTTCTTATTGTTTTATTTTTTAAAATTTACTTGGTGGGGGGCTGGGGCTATAGCTCAGTGGCAGAGCACTTGCCTAGCATGTGTGAGGCACTGGGTTCAATCCTTAGCACCACATAAAAATGAAATAAATAAATAAATAAAGGCATTCTGTCCATCTACAACTACAAAAAATTTTTAAAAATTAAAAATTAAAAAAATTTAGAGGGCCAACACGGATCTTCAGTACAAAATACAATTTTTATATAAACTTTTTGTTTTAAAAATTATTATAGAGTCGTTTCCCCCAGGGTTATATTTACATAAGTGTCATTTGATGGTGAAACCGAGGAAGCCGTCATTGGTACAGTGTGTGTGTGTGTGTGTGTGTGTGTGTGTGTGTGTGTGTGTGTTAGTTCTAGGCCATTTTATCACATGTAGCTTCTCAAAATGCACTCTTAACGACCTTGGCATGATTTCCTTAAGAAACCTGAGGCCCAGCCCGGTGATGCACACCTATGATCCCAGTAACTCAGGAGGCAGAGGCTGGAGGATCAAAAGTTGGAGGCCAACATCAGCACTTAGTGAGGCTCTGTCTCAAAATAAAAAGTAAAAAGGGTTGGAACTATCTCAGTGGTAAAGAGCCCCTGGGTTCAATTCCCAGTTACAAACAAAAAAAGAAGAAGAAGAAGAAGAAGTCTGAGACAGGAGGCTGGGGGAGACAGACAGCAGGGCTCTGGAGCAGCTGACATTCAAGCTGGAGCAACAGCAGAATGTGTTGAAGGTGCCAGGGGTGCTGTGAGGACCCTCTGCTCTGGGGGGAGCGTGGCAGGGACGCTGGGCAACATCTGGAGATGCCTCTAACAGTCATGACCGGGTGTGTGGACGTGTGTGAGCATAAGAGTGTGTGCCACTGAGATCCAGTGGGCCCAGGCCGGGGATGCTTGTAAACATCATACAAAGCAAGGACAGGCCCACAAGAAACATGGCCCAGCCCCAAGCGTCAGTGGCGCAGAAGCCCAGAACCCTAGGGAATTTCCCGAAGAGACACCGGCTGGTGATTTCAGACAAAGCCGATACAGGGACCAGGGGATGGGTATGAGAAATAGCACAGTGCTTGAGGGACCCACAGAAATCTGGGGTCACTAGAATCTAGTGGGGATCTTGGAGAAAAGAGGTCAAGGAGGCCCACGTGTCAGTCAGAGGATCTGGGAATTTGTCCTGTGACCAAAGCTAGTTGTCTCCATTAGTAGTTTAAAAACTGATTTAATTGATTTTGTGAATAGCTAACATGATTCTAGAATTCAGAATTTTAAAGGTGCAGGGATAAGTCTTCCTCTCACATTCCATGGCTTATCCCTGCACCTTTAAAATTCTGAATTCTAGAATATTTATTTATTTATTTATTTGTTTGTTTGTTTGTACTCGAGATTGAACCCACTGATGCTCTACCTCTGAGCTACATCCCAGCCCCCCCCACACACCTTTTGCAGTACTGAGGATTGAACCCAGGGGTACTCGACCATTGAGGCACATCCCAGCCCCTAAGTTGCTGAGGCTGGCCTTAAACTTGTGATCTTCTTTCCTCAGCCTCCCTAGTGACTGGGATTACAGGTATGTGCCACAGTGACTGACCTCTATGTTTTATTTGTTAAGTAAATAGTACCTTACAGAATTTACAAACATAATTATAAAATTTTGGCACAATCAAAGCTGGGTTGTGACTGTCACTGTACTGGGTTCGAGGCGGATGAAGCAGTGAGGGCTGGAGGGTGTTGTTACAGGCCAGCAGAGAGATCAGGAGGAATGGCAAGGTGAGGCTGGGGTGCAGGAGCAGGTGCAGGAGGAGGTGCAGGAGAGGGTGCAGGAGGAGGTGCAGGAGGAGGTGCAGGAGCAGGTGCAGGAGCAGGTGCAGGAGGAGGTGCAGGAGGGGGTGCAGGAGGAGGTGCAGGAGGGGGTGCAGGAGGGGGTGCAGGAGCAGGTGCAGGAGGAGGTGCAGGAGGGGGTGCAGGAGAGGATGCAGGAGAGGGTGCAGGAGGGGGTGCAGGAGGGGGTGCAGGAGGAGGTGCAGGAGCGGGTGCAGGAGGGGGTGCAGGAGAGGGTGCAGGAGGAGGTGCAGGAGGGGGTGCAGGAGAGGATGCAGGAGCGGGTGCAGGAGGGGGTGCAGGAGAGGGTGCAGGAGGAGGTGCAGGAGGGGGTGCAGGAGAGGATGCATGAGGAGGTGCAGGAGGGGGTGCAGGAGAGGGTGCAGGAGCAGGTGCAGGAGGAGGTGCAGGAGGGGGTTCAGAAGGGGGTTGCTTGGCTGGGATGGGGGAGGAGGAAGGTGGAGGAGGAGGAGGAGGAAGAGTCAAGGGTGAAGGCCAGGTTTCCAGCAGTGAGCCACTCCTGAGATGGACTCACACATGAAGGGCAGATGGTGGGCACTGTGGTCAGCATGAGTGTTTCAGACATAGGCAGGATGAGAGAGGGGTGGTGGGACGTTGCACGAGCAGCTTGCCTCAGACTGGAGGGGCTCTGGGCTGTGGTCTGTCCAGCTCCCATTCTTCCCTGCAGACCCTCTTGCTGATTCCCAGGGGAACAGCAGCTCCTTCTCAGGTGGTTTCAGAGGGGTAGGGGCCTCTGGGAGTCTGTGGGCCTCAGCAATGGGTTTATCAGATCAAACATAGGATGCTAGGATAAATTTGAATTTTGGGTAAGTAACCTATATTTTTTGTACATGTATATCCCAAATGTCACACACATGGGTGTTTATCCGAAGTTCAGATTCACATTTTCAATTGCTGCATGTGACAGCCCTATTTAGTGAAATACAGGTCCCCTAGCATGAGTCCTCAGGGTAGCTCCCCAGCAGGATTGACATGCATAGTCATGCCACTCCTGGAAGGACAGAGGATCAGTGGTGAGGGCCACGGAGGAGAGCCCCTTGAGTACTTGTCCTGACGGCCCTGGGCTTGCTATGGTTGGAACGAGCCCATCAGGGTTCTCTCCCCTTCCAGGTCCTGACCCTGGTGTTCCCAGGTCTAGCATGGTGCACAGCACTGGTCAGGGATGAGGATGCTTAAGGGAACAAACAACTGTATGAAAGGTAAATAAATGAGAGTTTTGGTGCCCCCTAAGTTTAGCTGAAGATGTCAAGAGGAATTAAACTGACATCAGCCCTCTGAACATTCTGGCCTTTCAGAGCCTGCATGCTTCAGAGGGGAGCTCTTAAATCTTCCTAGGGACAAAGAGGGTGGTGGTTGATATCAAGAAGCAGCACCAGTTGGGTGTGGTGACCACACCTGAAATTCTAGCAACTCAGAAGGCTGAGGCAGGAGGACCACAAATTTGAGGCCAGCCTCAGCAACTTGGTGAAACCCTGTCTCAAAATAAAAAAAAAAATAAAAAATAAAGAGGGCTGGGGATGTGGCTTAGTGGTACAGTGGACTTGGGTTCAATCCCCAAGACTTAAAAAAAAAAAAATTAGGGTTGGGGTTGTGGCTCAGTGGTAGCAAGGTGCTGGGCTGGATCCTCAGTACCACATAAAAATAAATAAATAAAATAAAGGTATTGTATCCAACTACAACTAATTTTTTTTAATTATTTAAAAAAAAAAGAAGTGGAAGCACCAAACTTGAGGCTTCTGGGACTTTCTTGGGTCTGGATGTGGAATCCTCTTGGGCAAGACATTTAAATGACCCTTTATAGCATGAAAACAGCTCATTTTCCAACTAACTCAGCAGGATGTAGTTGTTTGCCTGTGCCCCCAGTGAATGGCAGACAGATTGAGGTGCACCGTGTCCATCTTCCCCGGCTACCCCAGCTCACCCCTTTCTCTCCCTCTCAGGAGGAAGCATCTGAGTCGGAGAGAGAAGTCCACTGTTATAGAAATAGCCTCAAAGCTGTTTTTATTCACATCAAAAGGCAAAATCATTCACCAGCTCTGAAGTGTGTGCTGAGTCACAAATCACATGTCATGCACCTCGCTGTCACCTGTCTCCCCTGCATCTGCAGGCCTGGGCATGTGGCTGAGGGCCCTGAGGGTGGCATTCTCAAGATACTCAGTCTGGATCAGGCTCCGGGCCATTGTGGCAATGCCACTCAAAAGTGTGGTCAGCTACTGTTCTACCGGGAGACAGGGAGCTGGTGCCAGGAAGAAGATCAACTGTCATCAGGAAGACAGCTGAATGCAGCTGACCTTTCCTGACCAAGGAACTTAAACCAGCTGTGCGACCCCCATGGGTGAGGCCTAGGAGTAGGCAGGCCCCCCTGAGACCAGCGGGACTGAAAGACACTGTTACTTGAGTGACTGCCTGCCCTCTGCAGCCTCCTGCAGAATCTGTCCTTGGTGAGGTTACAGAAGCAGAGAGGCAAACCAGCCCCTGGTGCATTGTGTCACCTGAGAGCAAGGTGCCCAGCCTGTTGCTGTGGACTCCCTCACCCTTGGGGTCCTCTCCTTCACAGGGACCCAACAGGTATTGCTGGTTTGACCCTATCTGCCTGTGTCTTCTGTAAAACTGCATACGTGCCCCTCGGTGTCCTTTAGATAGGGCTTCTGGCTACGTTTCAGCTTCTGTTTCGTTCCAGATGAAAGGCTGCTAATTTTCCTTATCTTTCTCCGGCTTCTGCCTCTGCTGCCTGGACCCAGAGCCAGGCTTTGGGTTGATTGCGATGAGCACCTCATCTCCAGAGCAGCTTATCTTGGTTGAAATTGGACTTCAGGGTCCAAATCCCCTCTCTGCCACTTCAGCTGTATGACTTGGGGTTGTGTGGCCTCTCTCTATCTCGGTTTTTCTTGTGTGTGTTGTGGGGAAGAGCGCAGCTGACCCTAGGTTAGGAGTATGTGAAGTACAGAACACTGAGCAAGGTTCGATGTGTTCAGTTGTCTGTCTTTGACCAGCCCACACAGTGGTATTGGGAAACCCTTCAAACAGGCAGGCAGTGTCTTCAATAAAATTAGCAAAATCTTCTGGTCCGGATAAAATATTGGAAGAGGCGTATATCTGCATACTCATTTGCATATATCTACATAAGAAACACCACCACTAGCACCTCTTTTGCATTTAGAAAGACTGTTGGAGCTGGAGTTGGGGCTTGAGAGTTGCTCCCCGTGGTTGAATCCCATCCAGAACCCACGCCAGAAAAGTCACCTCTAGGGAGAAGCTAACTCAGCCTCCACTTGAGGCAACTCACCCGACATTGTGCTGCTCAGGAGGTGCCTCCTTTGACCCCAAGCCACTCCTACACCCCTATCCTTGCTGCTGTGGGCTCAGAATGCAAAGTGGTGTCACGAAGGAGCAGGTGGCTGTGAGTTAAACATAGGCAAGAGAATTGCCATGGCTGCCCACTTTGCCCACCTCTGAGACTCTGGAGGTTGTCTGGGTGGTGATCACAGCAGAGTGGCCATCTAGGAGCCTGACGTCTCTGTCCCCAGATTCTTTACAGAGCCACATCAAGAAGATGATGTCGTTTTGGGTCACCTGTACCTGAGAGTTGATGGTCCAGGCTGATCAGCTTGGGGTGCAGAGAGGAAGGCCCTGGAATTACAGGGTTTGAGGAAGGTAGGGGTGTTCTCGAGTTTCCCCCAGGTCTCACCCCACTCAGCCACGCCTAACACAAATTGGTGTGCTCTCTGGCTCCTCCTCTAGGTGTGCACGGCCTTCACTGCGGAGTTCGGGAAGTTCAGCCACGTCAACATGCACCATGGCTACACCAACGTGGTGGGTCTGGGGGACTCCAGCACGTGGAAGCTGCCTTGCCTCAACCGCTACGTCTACATGTTCCTCGCGCCCTTCCTCATCCCCATCATCACCCCGCTGGTGGCTCTTGGTGAGTACCTGATGGCCTGGGTCCAAGTGCCCTGCAGAGGCCTGTCCCACTTCCTTCCTTTCCCTCCTGGCTTGGTGGAAGCCAGAAGCCTTGGGTTCAGACCTTTTGGTCTCTGCTAGACTTTCTGATCCAGACAACCAGACAGCAGGACACAAGTCCAACTCTAGCTCTGCCACCTACTGGCTGGTGAACTTGCGCAGATAACCTGACTTCTCTGAGCCTCGGGTTCCTCAAAAGCATAATGAGGCCACAGCCAGAGCTTTGTAGATGCACACTGATCATCGTAATAGTTGGCATCACGGGAGCAACACCACGGGGTAGAAGGAGCTTGGGGATGGGTGGCCTTACGTTGGTCATGTTGCTTAGTGGCTCCCTTCCTCATCTAAACAATGGGTGAACACTCAGGCCACCCTCCGCCCTCACTCCCTTGGCCACCAGGAAGCCAGCTGGTGAGGACTCCAAACCTCGCCTGCCCTCATTCCCTGTCTTGCCCTCTGGCAGAGCGGCTGCGGAAGGTGGAGCTGCTGATAGCTCTGCGGACGCTGGGCCTGATTTCCCTGGGCCTTTACTCTCAGTACTGGCTGCTCCTGAACGTGTCCGGCTTCAGGAGCCCCAGCTCGGCCCTGGTCTGCATGCTGCTCATCAGGGCCTTGCTGGCCCATCCCTTCCTCCACGTCAACATCTTCCAGGTGAGGCCTCCCCACCCCTGGCACTGGGGAGTTATGGGGAGCACTCTCCAGGGAGGTGACTCAGGCTGGGAGAGGGAGGGCACAGGAGGAAGCAGCCCCCTTCTGGGGTCCCCTCTCGGTGGCTTGAGTTTTAGGTGAAGAGTTTGCTTGCCCTCAGCCGGCTGCCCTGCCTCATCCGCAGGTGGATTTCCATGTGAGGTGAAGCGAGGGTCCCTGTCAATGCCACGAGGCAGGCAGAGGAAGGAACTGGAGATGGGGGTCTTGGAGGGAGGCCGGGGGCTCCACATTCAGTTCTGGTGCATTCCCACCGGGGTGTCTCCCTGCGTCCCCATCAGTGGAGACCCCAGGTTGGAGTTCCCTGTACACTCACCTGGCACTCAGTACAACTGCCATCGATTACTTAATCCCATAACTGTGTCCCGTCTGCTTGTCCTTCTCAAATGGAAGTTTCTGCTCCCCTCCAAGTTCCCTAGACCCGGGACCGTGCCTGACAAGGAGGTACCTGCACATACTCAGTGAAGGAAAAAGCACAAGAGGATGCGCAAACTTGAACTTGAACAATGAGTGGGGTTTTGGCTGGTGAAGAGAACAGGGAAGGTCTCTCCAGGACGAGGCAAAGGCACGGTGCCATGTGGGCAGTCTCAGGCATTCAAGTACCAACGGTGCAGAGGTCCCCAAGCCAGGCCTCCCGTTGTCCAGATGGGAGGAGGCCCAGAGATGGGAGAGACTCAGCTCAGGGCCCAGACTGGGTTGGCATCAGAGCTGAGCCGGAGCCCCACCCCCTCCTGCCTCCACCAGGTCCTTCTAGGTTAGGACTTGGGGGGCAGAGCACACTGGGCCTCTGAGTGCTTGGTGAGGACACCTGAGGCAAGGGGGAGGCCCAGGCCCCACCCCAGGACATGACCACATGTCTGTCACAGCACATAGGGCTGCCCATGTTCTCCCGGGACAAGAAGCCCCAACGGATCCACATGATGACCCTGGGGGTTCTCAACCTGCCCGGCTGCCGGTGTTGGACTGGGCTTTTGGCCACTCGCTCATCAGTTGCCACGTAGAACACCACCTGTTCCCCAAGCTCTCTGACAATATGTGTCTGAAGGTAGACAAGGGCTGGTCGGGAGGGGCTGGGAGGACATGCCTGGCTGGTGGTGGGCAGTGGTAACCTCTAGGGTTCAGCTGAACCCTGGGTTCCCCAACTGGCCTGGTCAGAAGTCACCCAGGAGGGGCACCCCAACTGACAAGCAGCAACGTGGGTTGCAGATCAGAGACACCTGGGTTTCTTACCAGCAATGGGACTCTGGACAAGTTAATTGAGCCTCAGCTTCCCCATCTGTAAAATGGGATGAAACTGCTTACCTACAGGATTTGAGGATGGACTGAAGAAACAGACCTGAAATACTTGACACCAAGCAGGTGCTTGGCAAAGGAAGCCATGCTTTTCATTTCCCTGTGCCAAGAGGGGCTGTTGCATGGTTGGGACCTCGAGGGAAGATTTGGGGGAGAAATCCTCCTTCCCTTACCCACGAGTAAAGTTGAGGGAGGCAGGAGTTTTCCAACACCTCAGCCCTCAGCCAACGCCCCTGCCCTCCCTGCCCTGAGCATTCTGGACAAGGCAGATGGGAGCTGGGGCTAGGAAGAGGAGACAGCTCCTGGGATGGACAGGCTGCGGCAGTCCCTGCTCACAGCCCCTCCTCCTGCCATCTTCCAACAGGTAAAGCCTGTGGTGTCCCGGTTCCTCCACGAGAAGCAGCTGCCATACCAGGAGGACTCGTACTTGGCCCGATTCCGGCTGTTCCTCAACCGCTACGAGGAGCTCATGGTGCAGGCCCCGCTGATCACTGAGGTGGTGGGGCTGCAGTGAGGGCTGGGCTCCCCTCCCCGGCCCAGCCCTGGTGCTCCTGCTGCTGCTGGTTCTCAGTTGGTGTGCAGTGGTGGGTGGTGGGCGTGGAGCATGGAGGGAACATAAGGAAACTTGGGTGGGCAGTGAGACAGGGCAGCTGATGGGTGCCCTGTGTCCTGGGGGTTGCTTGCCCTGTTTGCTTTTTGGGGATTGGAGGGGTCTCTGGGTGAAAGGAATCTTGGTAACTGGGCCTCCTGGGCCTGGCTCCATCTCAGGATCTTCCCCTGCTCCATTTGAGCCTGGCAGGGCAGCAATGCCAAGGGTGAGGTGAAATCCTGTGCCCAAGGCCAACTGGGAGAGGGAAGGGGCAGAGAGCAAAGGTCAACCCCTTAGCTGGGGCCTCCTTGACACCGAGAGAGTGGCACACTTGCTTGACTGCTGCTTCTTCCTCTGCTTTTCAAGGCTCTGACCCAGGGCCCCCTCCCCAGGGAACATGGGGCAGGGTCACTTTTGGCAGACTCCCTAGTTTCCCAGCCAGAGAAGCCTGTTCAAGTCACAGTTCCCAAGGCCCACAGTGTCACTGAGATGAAAGTGAGTATATTTTGTAGGGAAAGCTCTCAGGATAACAGAGGGGAGAAAGTCCCTCAGGGACACAGCTGGGGAAAGAGTATAAATAGATTTGATCGTGACCTTGGCTAGTTCCATGATGTTTAGAAGCACGGGCCTGGGAGAGAGAATTACTGGGAGGTAGCTGAGTCTGGAGGGGGTTATGGGAGCCAGTTTGAAGGACAGGTGGCCTTAGAGGAGACAGAAGGAAGAGAGTGGGATGTTGAGAGCCACAGCCAAAGGGGCCCCAGCAAACTTCCAGCTGCCAGCAAACTTCCAGCTGCTGGCTGATGATTGGCTCACAGCGGCCCCAGCAACATCTAGCTGATTGGCTCCTCGGCCCCAGCAACATCTAGCTGATTGGCTCCTCTGCGGTGATGCTCATTGGACTGTTTCCCTGCCCTTTCAGACCACGGAGCTGCTCATTGGGGGACTTTTTTGGCTCCGCCCACGTGACCCAGCCAATCGGCCTCAAGAGCAGGAGGATTGTGGGAGGTGGAGAGAAGCTTGGGGGGAGAGAGAGGCTTGTGGAAAGCCGGTGGTGGCAGTTGAGGCTCTGAGGGTTTTTCCTGAGAGACTATTTTGTTTGTCGTGTGTGCTTCTAAAAATAAAGTTAGTTTCTTTTGACAAGTGGCTCCTGATTGTGCCCAGCCAGACTGCGGCATTTGGTGGCCCGTACGGGGAACGAACCCGCGACCTTGGCGTTATCAGCACCAAGCTCTTATGATAAGACTTATGATAAGTCCTGGGGTAATTGATCCCGATTATGAAGGTGAAATAAAAATTATAGCCAGTTCTCCAAAGGGTATATCAGTAATTTCACCAGGAGATAGAATAGCACAGTTACTAATAATACCCAGCCTACATGATAAATTTTCCAGTCGTACTGTAGAAAGAGGTTCCAAGGGATTAGGCTCCACAGGTGTAGATTGGGCTATGCTTTCTTTAAATTTAGATTCTCGCCCCATGCTAAAACTAAATATTCAAGGACATGAATTTAATGGGCTACTGGATACAGGTGCAGACCTTAGCATCATCTCTCGTCAAGAATGGCCAAAACATTGGCCATTACAACAAGCCACTCAAACGCTTCGAGGCCTAGGAGTGGCGACTAATCCCCATAGAAGTGCAATGGTATTAGATTGGAAGGATCCTGAAGGATGTGAAGGAACTATACAGCCATATGTATTGGATCATCTTCCCGTAAATTTATGGGGACGAGATGTCCTAGATCAATTAGGTTTGACATTAACAAATAACATCAACCAAAATGCACCCACTATTACGACTAGACAAGGTTTTAGGAAAGGAAAAAGATTAGAAAAACAAGAACAAGGTATAGCAGCACCAATACAAATAGATCAAGGAACAGACAGACATGGGTTGGATTTTCAGAAAGGGCCACTGAGACAATAAAAATTACTTGGAAATCAGAAAGACCAGTATGGGTTCCTCAGTGGCCCCTGACTAAAGAAAAGATACAAGCAGCCCATGACCTGGTCAAACAACAATTAGCAGAAGGACATATACAACCTTCTGTATCTCCCCATAATACTCCCATTTTTGTCATCAAAAAGAAATCTGGTAAATGGAGATTATTGCAAGATTTAAGAGCCATTAATAATGAGATGGTTATTATGGGACCTGCTCAATCAGGGATTCCTCAGTTGTCTGCTTTGCCAAAAACCTGGTATGTTTTAGTTATAGATATTAAAGATTGTTTTTTTTCAATTCCAATTCATCCTGAGGATAGTCCACGTTTTGCATTTACTATCCCTGCACTGAATCATGAAGGTCCTGATCAGAGATATGAATGGAAAGTACTCCCTCAAGGGATGGCTAACAGCCCAACTATGTGTCAAATTTATGTTAACAAAGTAATCCAGCCACTTAGAAATCAAAATCCTGAACTACAAATATTTCACTATATGGATGATGTATTATTAGCACACAAAGATAAAAACACATTGCTAGAATGTTATGCCACACTTACAAACTTATTAAAAAATTATAATCTAGAGATAGCAATAGATAAAGTACAATTAAATTTTCCAATTAATTATTTAGGAGTTCTATTATCCTCAACCATGGTCCGTCCACCAAAAATTCAAATACGAGTAGATCAACTCAAATCACTTAATGACTTTCAAAAGTTATTAGGAGACATAAATTGGATAAGGCCTTATTTAGGTATACCAACAGGAGAGTTGGGACCTTTATTTGATATCCTACAAGGTCCATCAGATCCAAATTCACCCCGAATGTTAACGCCTGAAGCAAGAAAGGCATTAAAAATCATTGAAACATATATGGAAAATATGCATTTGGATAGAATTGATATAAGTTTGCCTTTATTATTTATTGTACTACCAACAAAAAATATTCCTACAGGAGTATTTTGGCAAGAAGGTCCATTATTATGGATACATTTATCTTATTCTCCTAACACTATTCTTACTAGGTATCCTGAGGCTGTAGGACAATTAATACTCAAAGGAATAAAAGCAGCAAAGGGAGTGTTTGGAATTTCTCCCAATAAAATTATTACTCCATATACTATGAATCAAATTGATGAGTTAGCTAATGAGTTAAATACTTGGGCAATAATCATGTGTAAATCTAATGTTTCATTTGATAACCACTTACCATCTAATCCTTTATTGTCTTTTTGGTCATTGCATCCTGTAATTTTTCCAAAAATGACAAGAAAAACACCTATCATGAATGCTCCAAATATATTCACTGATGGGTCAAATAATGGTACAGCAGCAGTAGTTACCCCTGATCAAACTTTTACATTTTTAGTACCCAAACAATCAGCTCAAAAGGTAGAGCTTAATGCAGTTTTACAAGCTTTTGTGATGTTTAAAGATTCTGTATTTAATTTATTTTCTGATAGTCAGTATGTAGTTAATGCTATAGTATCTCTTGAAGATGCTGGTAGGATTTCCCCTTCTTCTACTGTTTTCTCTTTGCTTTCCACTATACAAAGTCTAATCTGGGACAGAAAAGATCCATTCTTTATAGGACATATCAGGGCACATACAGGATTGCCTGGAGCCCTTAGTTTGGGCAATGATTTAGCAGATAAAACTACACATGACATACATATTTTCTCTACACTAGAAGAAGCTATAAATTTTCATAAAAAGTTCCATGTCAATGCTAATACTTTACAAAAGCGTTTTAAAATAACTAAGGAACAAGCTAGACAAATAATAAAACAATGTCAAAATTGTGTGACCTTTTTACCACAAGTTAATCTTGGAGTCAATCCTAGAGGATTGATACCTAACCATATTTGGCAGATGGACGTCACACACTTGCCAGAATTTGGAAAATTAAAATATTTGCATGTTACAGTTGATACTTCTTCTGGATTTTTGATGGGCTCCCTTCATGCCGGAGAAAAAACTAAAGATGTTATAGCTCATTGCTTACAAAATTTTGCCACTGTGGGTGTTCCAAAACAGTTAAAAACAGATAATGCCCCTGGTTATACTTCTACCTCTTTTAAACAATTTTGCTCAACATTTGGCATTACTCATATAACAGGAATCCCATACAATCCACAGGGACAAGGCATAGTTGAAAGAGCTCATCAAACTATTAAAATGTACTTATTAAAGCAAAAAGAAGGAATTGGGAAGGGGTATATATTCCCCAAAGATAAACTTAAAATAACCCTTTTTACTCTAAACTTTTTAAATTTGGATTCATCAGGACTTAGTGCTGCGGAAAGGCATATGTGTCCAAAAAATGTACATAAGCCCAAGGTAATTTGGAAGGATATTCTAACAGGACAATGGAAAGGTCCTGACCCAGTAATTGTCTGGAGTCGAGGGTCTGTTTGTGTGTTTCCACAGGGAGAACAGCAGCCGATTTGGATTCCAGAGAGATTAACCAAGGTCCTGACCCAGTGATTGTCTGGAGTCGGGGGTCTGTTTATGTGTTTCCACAGGGAGAACAGCAGCCGATTTGGATTCCAGAAAGATTAACTAAAGCGATTTCTACAGACCAAAAAGAAGATGATTTGGCTCAAATCCATAACAACTGATATCCAAAACTCCAGTTTGGCTATTCTTACATCTGCAACAGAACCAGGATGCTTTTTTCAATATCTATTTTATTATTGCCGTTTGCCATATCATGAAGTTCTATTTTGTTTTTTGAGCTCATACAGACCTAGGTTAATGTTTTGCTGATCAGTTCTATTTTTTGACTATAGAGTTTTTAAACATTGCAATGGAGATTTCACCTGTAAAAAGTTATAAGGCCTTTACTATAATGTTATGTGTTGTATGTATTATATTATGTGTGCACACTTGTGTTTTGTGTTATATGTTTGAATGTACGTATGTCCATATATCATATATGATGAGCGCTCATGATAAAATGGATCCAAATATTTTTTTTTCACGTGATTTATATGGTTTAATTTAAATTGGGTAAACAACTGTTGAGGATTGTTTTAATATGTAAACAAAAAAGAAGGTTAACAGATCTGTTTGTTTACTTTCACCTTTCCTTTTCATTATATTTAATAATTCTCTTAAAGATAATGTAAATTGTTAAGAAAATTGTTTTCTTTTAGTGCCTTCTGTAATGTTACATAATTTTTTCTTTAGCCATTATTGCCAGAATTCCTATCTTCATCCCAGTGCCGGTGAAGACAATGTAAATTGTTAAGAAAATTGTTTTCTTTTAGTGCCTTCTGGAATGTTACATAATTTTTTCTTTAGCCATTATTGCCAGAATTCCTATCTTCATCCCAGTGCTGGTGAAGTCAAAGATAAAACCAATCTACAGCTTCTACAATAGCCATCACTGAACTGCTTGCAGAACTTGCCTGGACACATTGTGAGCTCACCTGTATGCATTGTGAACTATCTGTTGGTGCAGCGACTTGTGGTAGTGTTGGGGTATTTTTGCTGATGATGTCACCGGTGGTACAATTTTTCAAAGGAGCCCTCAATTGGCTTAATGTCATGGCATTTTGCATCCTCCTCTACTAGTGATGGTCTAAAATTTGGGGGCCAACAGAGGTGAGGCAAAGAACCTCACCCCCCCACAGGTGCAAAGGCCTATCCACAAGTATGGCTGTATGCTGGACCGGTAGTCAGTGACGGGTATGATCCAATTGCAGTGGTACCAACCTAAGACAGGAGGCTGACGCCTAGAGGTCAGTTCATCTGATGACGGGTAAGGACCATATGTTGAATTGGACTGCCTAACAGGCACGGTCCCTAAGCCACATGCTTGTTGTTTAAACAGAGAGGGGGAGATGTTGAGAGCCACAGCCAAAGGGGCCCCAGCAAACTTCCAGCTGCCAGCAAACTTCCAGCTGCTGGCTGATGATTGGCTCACAGCGGCCCCAGCAACATCTAGC